AAATAATCATATTAATTCTTGTCGAAAAAAAAAATAATCATATTAATTAATTATAATAACAAGTACACAACATAAAGCGTGACTATAAGAGCGTGGAGCCACCTCAACGCTCAAACTAATAAACTATGTCCAAATCTAGGCTAAATCCCCCGTTAATTATACTCCGTAATTATTTTTTAGCATTAAATAATAAGAAATTTCTACACATAAATCTTCCATAAACTAAAAAACTACTCGGTACCTTTTGATAATCAGGTAAATATCCTATACTGAAAATTTCCATATAGAGGACTATCGCACTTAAGGGTGTCCACAATTCGAATTAAAACCAAAATCTAATTCAATCCAAATCGAATTATCAATTTAAATCGGATCTAAACTTTAAATTGGATCAGATCGAATTTAGATTTTTTGAAAATTTTGAATTTTCGAATTAGATTGGATTAACCCTAATTGAATCCAACCCAAACCAAAAACCGAATTGTAATTTAAAACTCCCATTGTAATTTAAAACTCTGATAAATTGTTTCAAAAAAAAAAAAAAAAAAAAAAACTCTAATAAATATGACTCAACTTTTTTACTCCGTATTTGTATCTCTCTCCTCCCTCCCCACTAAAATTCAAACTAGTATCCACAGAAACACGACCGTTCCTCGTTTTCTGTGCTCTCTCTTCACTCTTCACTCTTCACTTTTTCTCTCTCTTCCTTAAACCCTTCCTCACTCCCAAACTCCCCATCACTTCAATTCCCACCAGTCACCCAAACAAAACCAAAAACCCACCAATTCACAATAACAATTCACACGGCCGTGTTAATTTTAGATGGTAGCAGGTAAAGTAAAATCAGCAATGGGGTTACAAAAATCCCCAAAACCCTCTAAACCACCACCATCACCACAACCACCGTCAAAACCACCGTCACCCTCCCACAACTCCGCCGGAAAATCCTCCTCCCAAAAATCCACCGTCTTCAACCGTTCTTTCGGCGTCTACTTCCCTCGCTCCTCCGCCCAAGTCCAACCCAAACCCCCCGACGTAACCGAACTCTTTAAACTCGTCGAAGACCTTCGCGACCGTGAGTCCCGCCTTAAAACCCAACTTGTCGAACAAAAACTCCTCCGTGAGTCCGCCGCCATTGTTCCCTCTCTCGAAGCGGAGATCGCATCGAAGAGGGCGGAAACAGACAGGCTTGTGCAGCGTGTGGTAGAGCTGCAATCCGAGAATGAGAAGCTCATTCGCGAAAGAGAGATCATGAAGGATATCTTCGAGCGGGAGAGCAGAGACAAGGATTTGAAAATAGCGGAATTAATGTCCGAAATTGAGGATGTCAAGCAGCTATCCTCGTCTCAGAGGTTCCAGGGGTTAATCGAAGCTTCTGGAAAGTCTAATTTGATTAAGAATCTGAGTTTTCGGAAATCCGGGTTTTTAACTACCACCCCAACGGCTTCTTCCTCTTCTTCAGCCACCGTGTCCTCTAAGGAAGGCGGTGGTGTCGGGTATAATGACGATCATCGCCAGCATGTTCATTATCCGCCGCAGCTGACACCGTCGTATGCGGTGGTGGAGATTGAACCGCCACGGCATTCACGGTGTAGCTCGGCGGATGAAATTGCGGAAACTTCAGATTCTTCTTCGTTTGTTCGATCTCGGATTCCAAGAGTACCCAAACCTCCACCCAAGCGTTCGTATTCCGACTCACATTCTAATTCCAATTCACATTCACATTCGTCCTGCTCATCTTCGTCGTCGGATGTTCGTAAATCAACGGACAGCATCACAGCACCACCACCTCCTCCTCCACCACCGCCGCCTTCAACATTGAAATCAGTTCCTCCTCCGCCACCTCCGCCGCCGGCGAAAAAAGCTCCGGCGCCACCACCACCTCCGCCGCCACCGGCTCCGGCGAAAGGTGTAAAAGTTATGTCTTCGAAAGTTAAGCGAGTGCCGGAAGTGGTAGAGTTTTATCATTCGTTAATGAGGAGAGATTCCCGGCGAGATTCCGGCGCCGGTACACCGGATGTTACGTCATCGAGTGCACGTGATCTCGTCGGAGAGATTGAGAATCGGTCGGTTTATTTACTTGCGGTGAGTTTTTCTTTTTTTTTTTTTTTTTTTAAATGTTTTTATGTCCGTTGGTGTTTTGAGTTATTTACGATATTGCCACTAAGAGTTTTTTTTCTGGGTTTAAATTTGACATTGACAAGACTAAAGAGTGTACTTGTCTTTATTTATGAACTTTTTGGTTTGGATTTTGGTTTAATTTGTTTTAATTCTAGCTACTTGTTTTGATTTTGATTTTCTGATAAAGAACTTTTATACTATCCAGTTGCACTTTTTTGTTTCTTTAATTTGATTTTATTATACCAATAATTCTTGTTATTTGGTTTATTACATAAAAAAGAAATAAAAAAAAATGAAAAGAAAAGTCTGGTTGTTGGTCAAGTTTCAAAATGTCAAACATATAGTCATATACATTTAAGTTGAGATTGATTATCCAACAACCCAACATTGGTTAAAATCATTTGTACTACGTATTAATTGTACTAAATGTTTGAAATTTGAGGCAGATGCTGCTAATTAATGACATTGGTGGGATTAGATTACCGTTTAATTAACTTGCTTAGTTGATTAAAGTAATTTAATTATGGATATGAGAATTAATTTTTGTTTTGGATTGAAATCTAGATTAAGACAGACGTGGAAACACAAGGAGAATTCATCAGGTTTTTAATCAAGGAGGTCGAAACGGCTGCATTTACAGACATTGAAGATGTGGTTTCTTTTGTGAAATGGCTTGATGATGAGCTTTCTTACTTGGTATGTCACCCAATGAAAGACCCTAACTTATGTGTGTTTTGTAATTTGTATGAGAATTTATGAGATTGTGTTTCTAACTTCTTAGGAAATGTGTGTTTAGGTTGATGAAAGGGCAGTTCTAAAACACTTTAATTGGCCAGAGCAGAAGGCTGATGCGTTGAGGGAAGCTGCATTCGAGTATTCCGACCTCAAGAAGCTCGAATCTGAGGCTTCTTCCTTTAGGGATGTTGCTCGTCAAGCTTGTTCCACCACTCTCAAGAAAATGCAAACTCTACTAGAAAAGTACTACATTGAGTATTCATTGTCTCGTGTTTATTTGTTGCAATTCTAGTATTCTATATACATACGGAGTAACATATTGATATAAATAGCTAATGTTATTTCATTATCTGCTAATTGAAACAGATTAGAGCATGGAGTTTATAATCTATCGCGACTGAGAGAATCAGCTGCCAACAGATTTAAGTCGTTTCACATTCCTGTCGATTGGATGCTTGATACTGGATTCGTTAGCCAGGTGAATTTTATTTTCTTACAATCAATTTCCGTTTTGCTGCATTCTGTTGAACAAACCATCAAATGACAGAAGACGGAAAAAAAAAATATTGGTAGAAAAACAAGGTGAATAATTGGTTCATTATTCATCGGCGAAGAATCTTAATACTGTAATTATTGTCATTAAGCATGAAATTGGAATGTTCCCATTATTGAGTTCTTTAATTTATGTTAAATATTTTGTTTAGACATGGTCGAATTGGCACACTATGAAGTATAAAATTACTAAATTAATTAATCCCACATAAGTTAGGTTAAAATGTTGGATATACATGACCGTTGTAGTAGTTCATGCTACATATAATAATTGGAACATGGTCCACTAAACCATACTATTAAAAACAATATAATCTTACTTAGCATTAATAATGTAACTAAGTGACAAAATAAAGGTAAAGATAAAATAGTATAATGTGGTTAAATAACTAGAATTATGCATGCATGCGCACATGGGTAATCCCATAAAAATTGTAGTAATATGGTTTGTTTTGGATCTTTGCTTAGCCTAATTAGCTTAGGAAAATAGTAAGAGTATCAGATTCTTTGGGTGTAAAAGTTGACCTTTTATGAATCCCAAAACTCCTAAAAAGCCTCACTTTAGGATCCTTCCTACGCTTGCGACCAGGGATCTTGAAAGTTCCTAGATTCATGTCTTCGTAGAGTTAACTAAGAAGGAGATTACTAGGTAGTGGGAAACATTGTTAATATCATACCATGCTGAGTTTGTCTAAAAGTTCCTAGATTCATGTCTTGGTAGAGTTAACTAGGAAGGAGATTACTAGGTAGTGGGAAACATTGTTAATATCATACCATGCTGAGTTTGTCTAATGTCGACCTTTTATTTGTTTGCTTGTGTGCTTAGTCATTCGAGTAAACAGGTCGTGTTTATGTTGTATTCTGGGTTGATGTGTTTTTTTTTGTAAAAACTTGTGGAGTATGTCGTATGGTTTTTTTTTATAATAGATGATGAATTGATCAAATAATTTAAATGTGGGTTACATTGGGTTACATTGCCTCAAACTATCATTCCGTGTCATATATATCCAACCTATGTTACTTAGACTTGGGGTACTCAATTCCGACCTTGTCATATATTAGGCCGGTCTTATGGGTGGGTTTTTTTTTAACGGGTGTTATGGCATGCATTTTGAATGTTGGTTGATTTACTATATAGACCAAATATTGTAAAATGAACAATATATGTGTTTATTTATATCTATGCTCATCAACATTTAAACCAAATATAGCCAGACAACACTTGTTTTGTGAATTGAAAATGATTAAGTACAACTGATATAAGTTAAGTATAATTGTACCACAACAAATAGTCAAATACGGAGTACGTAGAAACAGTCTACATCATTCATCGTTGTATTGATGTTAAAGCTTTTTCAATTGACAGATCAAGTTAGCATCTGTAAAATTGGCAATGAATTATATGAAAAGAGTATCAGCAGAACTTGGAGTTGTTGGTAGTGGTCCTGAGGAAGAGGAGTTAATTGTTCAAGCTGTCAGGTTTGCTTTCCGGGTACACCAGGTAATTTTTTCCTGACTCGATCTGCTGTTAGATTAAATTAAGCAGTCACCAATATTTGCAAGTTTAAAGTCTCAAAGATAATCAGAAATTTACTGCATATAATAAGCTGTTCAATTTGCTTTCGTGGTACATAATGGTGTTTAAAGGAGCTAATTTTCTCTTCTCGTGTGATCAGTTTGCAGGAGGATTCGACACAGAAACTATGAGAGCATTCGAGGAGCTGAGAGACAAGGCAAGATCGTGCCATGTACATTGCCAGAACCAGCAGCAGACACATCAGCAACAGAGGCTTATGTACCGATCTATGCCCTGCTAGATTATTCTTCTGCAGCAAACTCAGCTTCAGAAATTCAACATATCATCATTCTTTTGTTGTTGTAAAGTTAAAAAATGTCATGTTTGTGCAAGTGAACATCAGAAGTAGCCCTTTTGTGCTTATACATGTTTTTGCCTAATTTACTTTATTTGTTGTAGTGGCTCTTCTGATATCTTAACGAAACTGTATCGAGAAATATAATGAATAATTTCGTAAAATTCCTAGGTACCTTTAGAACTCGCAAAATTATAAAAAATCGAAATCATGAAGAACTCATTCCTACGGAATATTTGCTACATTGCACAAGACATGTGTAACCTGAAAATTTCCCAAGCACGATTAAAAAACTTTAAGTAACACCAAAGAGAACCTTATAGGATAAAATTTGATCTAAAGTAGTATTATTAGTCCATATCATAGAAATTGCTAAGTTTTCACGTTTCAGCAAAGTTTTTTCGCAACGTAGAATTGCATATTCAATACTCGTACTTTTGTTAAAGCAATAGAGACATTCGTATCAAAAGGAGCAACGTAAAGCCTTTCATGAAGATGGTATCTTTCCAAGTTTAAATGAATAAATAATCTTGGCTTTATCAATGTAAAGCTTTCCCATATTACAAGGTGTTATTGTATCAATTTTCATGACATGGTTTTACTTCTCAAGGGTGAGACATAATTTTTTATTGTTAAGAGTACTTTGTTGAAACAAAAAACATACATAAGAGACTAAATCCAATTTCTTTGGGTGAAAAAGTACACAATAAGTAATTAAAATTCAATTTTTGGGTTAAAGAGTATAAAGATTGAAAACATTTTAGTTTTCCCATTCCTTAATTTGATACAATTTAACATTATACATGAGACGAATTAACAATAGCTTGATCCCTCGGTGTTCTTTAAGTGCTCTATTTTGACTTTTATACGATTCATTTGACCAATATTTGTGCTTTACATATAAAATCAAATATAATTATATGAGTACATGTTGAAATCGTCTTGATGTATAATTTCCAAATGTTTAAAATATAATGCTTCATATATACTTAAATGACAATTTAAGATAATATTGATCAAAGCACCAGGTTGGAAAATTTGCTGGTCAAATTACAGTGCTAAAAAAAAAGTGAAGGGTTATGTAATCTGTAATATCATAATATTCCATTTGTCTCTATTTGTTTGCCCCATTGTATTTTTGTGAGTCAAATTTTAAAATTTTGTATGATTATTTACATTTTAAGACGTATTCTATAAATCATGGAAAGTCATAGGGAACAAACGGTAATTACCCGAATAGTGAGTTAATGAAGAATTGGCATCGCACATGTTTTTAAGTAAGTATCCAAAGGTACCTACAAAGCTAACATACAAATTAAAGGGCAATTCTTTTTTCTTATCAGTTTGTATAAGCATGACGCATGCATGAAATCAGGAATGTGGACAAAGCAAAAGTGGTCTACATTATGGATCTAAAATGTGCTTTAACTGATTAGTCATTTTGCTCAACGGATACTACACTAGTAGTAATCTAAAGCCTGATTTTTAACCAATTGGATGATGAATGCCAAATTATAAAATTTGTAGGCTCAATCATATTTGTAGGTAGAATTATTGATGCCTAAGATCATAATTCTAGAAATTTAAAGTAGCTAACAATTTGTTCAATCATTTGAAGTATAATTGTTTTTGCCTGAGATCATGATTCACTAATTTTCTTAGTTTTTTATGTGGTTATCACTAATGACAAAATCATGTGTCATTCTGATGTTCGTTACAAAAATTTATTATTAAGTTATTTTTTTCATAGAACAGATCCAATCAAATTACTTGATTCGGATTTGTCGCTTAAATCGCTCAAGCCATGATGCAAGGCTTGGCATCTCTCATTCTATTAATTCCACTAGCTTCAAATGACATAATAGATACTAAATGATGCATCATTGACACGAAACAATAAATAGTTGAACATAAACAATCCTATAACTGATCTACTCCCCTCAATACTACATCAATGAACATACATACGCAAGATAAGCAAGGGTGACTGCCTTTAGTATGGGGCAGAAATTGCAGTTCATTTCCATTGATATCGATCTTATGTGGTGTACTCTGCGTTTATCTTGACATAGTCATAGCTCAGGTCACAGCCCCATGCTTTCCCCTCTCCTGGCCCATCACCTGTAGCAGAATATGCCGGAGCAAGACAATTGGTCATGAGTTGATGAGGAAATGTGACACTAACATATACATATAGTTCAAAAGCTATGAGAAGCATGTGTAAAATTCGTGTATTTCACTGCCATAATGGAATTGCCAAAGATTCAACTGCACCCTCTGAGCATTAGTTCATCAGCTCGGTGGGAATATAATAACTAAGGGCATGCTTAGATTTAAGGTATTGCATCAAGGAGGGGGCAATAACTTTCCAAAGTGTAGGTGGGTGAACGTGGTGGTAGAGAAGATGAGGAAATGATAATGTGGGCTTGTGAATGAGGAGAATGGGGGAATATTTATCCTCCTATAGGGGTTAACGCCAATAGCTTTCCTCTTTCTTGCACCACCACTTCTACTCATGTTCAATGTTCTTAGTTTGTCTCCTATTCCAAGAATTAAAAATGTTCAGAAGTGGGAATTTGGAAGGAAGGGAAGGGCGGTGAGGGATTACAGGGCAGTAACCTGAAAAGTTCAGTGAGCAAGGCAGTGTTCTGAAAAGTTTTGTCCCCTTCAAATAGCAAAACCTTCTACCTCATGATACCTAACAATATAGAGTATATGCTACTCACCAGGTCATCACATACTGCACTCCAGTTTCCAATCCCTTGTCATTACGACGCAGATGCGCTTAGAGCCAATGAAATGATCTATATAGTATATACTACTGCAGTACTGCCTAATTAACTAAGTACATCAATAACTTGATTGAACTCCAGAATTACATGTATAAGAGGAAATGACTAAAGGAACAAGTGGCTAGAACCCTTCCAACACTAAGTCATGTGAAGTGATGCCCCATAAAGCCCAAAAGGATGGAATTGAATATCAAACCTGGATCTTAACTTTATGACACCAAAGATATATCCAAATTTGTAATCTACTGTCAGTGTTCAATCAGAGGGAACAGGAATAGCTACGATATCTCCTTCCCCCGTATCACCAATTCAATTTCATGAAAAAAAATAAGTCATGTGCAAATTTAGATAGATGCTCTGATGCTTAACTTACCCACTGAGATGCGTATTTCAACAGTACCATGTTCCTCCCCAGCTCTCTGAAGGTAACTGCTGGCAGCCGCCCTGGAGAATTATCCAAACTGAAATTAGTCAGCTGATAATAACGATGTTACATTAGGGAAGAATTAAAAGCACCTAACTCAAATTAGCCTTATTATTTAATGACTTAGGATTTCAAATTCAAATTCCTTGATACAAACCATAATTTCTAAAAACGTTTGAATCAGATGAAATAGCACTTGCCACACTGACTGAAACCATCTATAACAGTCAGAATTTTGTACGAAGTATATTCTTTACTTTAATTCAAGGCTGAAGGATGCCAAAATAGATTTCTTTCAAGCGACTCAGCTGCTCTCACAATAAGGCTCGAAAAATAATTATGTCCATACCGATCAAATGGAAGGGGCTGTCCACCATCCATTAGCAGAATGTCGCCGAGTGATATTTGAAGTTTGCTTAAGTTGAAAGGGACTGTTGCATAGCCAGCAGCACAGGCAATACGTCCCCAGTTCGGATCTCGTCCGTACACAGCAGCCTTGAAGCATAGGTACAACAGACTAGGTAAGGTAAAGCTTGATTAATAGAGACATGAATTTTGTATGCAAGACGTGACAGATATATTACCTTGACAAGAGAAGAAGATGCTACAGAGCGTGCAACTTTTGCAGCTTCAGCCTCGTCACTGGTACCTTTTACAGATACCTGCAGGCATATTTTAAATAATATTTAAAAACTTGTGCTATCAGTGTATTACAAGCTGCAAAATAAAGAATCTAATGATCTATCATGTAGTGCAAATCAACCATATTACCCACACAAAGTCTTGAGGGGGAGGGGGCTGGAGCGAGGGAATGTTAGTAAGGTGTAAAACACTTCCAGAAGCAGCATAGTATTGGAACAGACTGAGTCCATCATAAGAAGATAAAAGACTAAGTGAATCTTTTACTCAATGCAGTCATTGCACTAAATCACAAGGGCTCCATAGATCGACTTTATTAAGTGAACCTCATAGCTTGATCCTCTGTCTTATACTCTCTTTGCCACATCACTTTTCTCTACTTGATAAAATCCAATCATTGCCCATCTCCATTGAAACTTCCACCCTTATTCCTCTAAAGCACATATAATTACCAGCATTCCCTTCAACCACAGGATGGTTGTGATGGAAGCTATAGCTCACAGAGAATAGAGATACTTGTCCTGTCATCCATATGTGTAAGTGATCTGCAAATGGGAAGAAATCTTGCGAATGATGGATCAAGACCAACTCACCCGTAGTAGGTAAATTTCATAACCTGGGTTTTCTTGTAGGGGTTAAGTTCAGTTAGTACACTATATATTCTGTTTTGACTGGACGACAAGTGAATTTTGTTAAGAATTAGGTTGTACTGCGAACAGAGGTCTAAGAGAGTGTTGAGATTACTGACAATGGTCAACTACGGTTAAATCCAGGCAAATCTCACAAAGAAACTCAAAGAGTTTGTATTTGGTTATAGGGTGAAAAGCGTCAACTATAGACTTACAAAATATACGGCGGTGTACAGAAATTGGAACACCATGGAACCAGCCTTGAAGAGGGTTTCAGAAAAAATTAGATGCATAAAATCTTACAGTTCGGGACACATGAGGTGAGAGTGTATTCCCAAGGGAGCATATAGTGTAACTGTGTAAGTGAGGCTTTTGTAGTCATCAGTCCAGGAACCTGTGAGGATGATGGTAGTATTCATGCAGGTATTTGCCCCAGTGATTGGATCCCCAATATCACTGGTCTGGTCTCTGGTTCCACAATAACATAGTACAAGATATGGGGCATACCTTTTCTAATAGCTTTCACCACTTGCAAAATGACCATGTTCAAAATGATGGAGACAAGAGCAAGCTCGTAATGGGACTACAATTTTTCTAGGGTTGACACATTTACTACTCGGGTACCATGTCTTGAATGCTTTCACAGTATGAAATCAAGTAGAAAAACCCATGTTTAAGATCGAGAGGCTTTACTTTGGAATATCAATCAAAAGGCCGAGGCCAAGGTAAAGGCTAGTTTGTAAAAACTTTCCCAAGTTTCTAGGTGGACTGAATAAGGTGGCTTTCATCGTGTGACTAAATAAGAATGACAATTCAAGGGAGGTCATGAGAGGACTTTCCAGGAGCCAATTATATAAGCATGGGATCTTTGTCGTGGCTTTGACATGGATTCCATTTGCTTCCTCTAAGAAGTTGCTCAAGATTCTATATCTACTTTACAAATTATCAGGCATATACTAGACCAGTAAAATAACCCACAAAAATAGATTAAAATGAGAAATCAAAAGTATCTTCCATTGGATTTCATAGCTCCACCTCCATCTGCATTTTCACAAGGTTCTATCACTTATCAAAAATTTAAAATGTACAGTAAAAGTGCAGACCTCGATTAGACAGGTTGCTCCTTCTCCATCCCAAGCAATCGACTTTGCAAGACCTTGCATTACCTGATAAAGAAAGTATGTTCACATCAAATGACAAGTGCTATGGAATAAAACATAACTAAACATTCAGAGTCACAAAGCGGTTTTTCTTGATGCTGCCAGTTTATCTCATTTTATTGTCCAGAAAAAAAATTCTCTGATTTCTTGAGTATTGAAGAAAAAAAGTTCAATTTTTTTCAATGATGATTAACTGTAAAAAAAAACTTGCAAGAATAATAAAGCAAGTTATAAATAAAAGGGATCGAGAGCCGCAAGCATATTAAGGACAAAGATAACCAAAATTCACATGTTTACATGATCATTAATAAAACAACTTACAAGAGAAAATATCAAGTTTCCTAATGGCTATTGAAAAAAAGGTGGTTAGGGGAAACAAAACAAAAGATGTGGAGCATCAATTATATAAGACAACTCTAAATACACAGAGATTTTACATAATAAAAAAAGAATATGGTGGAAGTTCTCATACAGCATCAAGGCATGATTGAAGTTGTGATGCTTCAGGACCATTCAGGTTTGATATCCTTGACGCACCAGAAAGCCCACTAGCCAAAGCAATAACAGTGTCATTGGTACTAGTATCCCCATCTACCTGCAATTCATGTAACTTTTCACATGCCTGGAGTATGTGGTATAAATCACAAGTATAATGAAACATATATCACTATACTTCACTAAGCATGTTTACAACACAACAAGAAATGTGTATGCATCCCTACATTGAACTTAAGAGTAAAAGATGTATAGACAATGCATTATGCAGAAACATACCAGTCAAAGCATGTCTTCCTAATAAAAGAAATATGCCCCATTGAAGATTTATAGTTAAGGCTTTTGAGGAACGCCTGAAGCTTATGAAGATCATCTTTCTACAACTTTCATTTCTTGTTAATACCCTCAAAGAGTCCTATCACAAACCCATTACTAGCACTTCAGCTTTCAGCCACAAGCAATGTCTTTCAGAAAACATATGTAGGAGCAGAACACCTTTTCTCAATGAGTAGATTTTTGAACAAATTGAGAGATTGCCAAGGAGAAAGAGCTCTTTCAGATTTATTGAAGCACAAGTTTGGTCCCTTGCAAACTGAGGCATTTACTTTAAGCCAAAGCAAAACTCTCATGTGGCTGATAAAGCTTAGATGGATCAAACATCACATATGTAACCATATATGGAATTTTAATTGGTTTGGAGTAAACCAAATGCAATTCCATTCAATACCCATTTAATGAAGTCAGTAAAGTAAGTCTGAAAATAGAATGGAATGGAATGGAATGGAAGACAAGTTTTAATCTGGAATCAAATTAAAACTTTCGGTTAAAATCTATTTGTATAAGAACTTCGACTCATAAATATTATTATAATTTGGTGCATGAGATATATAATTTTTCAGTTATTCTCTTAGGGTGTCCATGTAAACAAATGATTAGTGAACTCATTTTTGTTGTGTAGTAGTATGAATAGGTATTTCTTGTCTGTATTTTTGTAGGATTTCCATATTCAAATTCGCCATCAAAAGGGGGAGATATTTAGTTTGTAGTGCCCCAAATATTAGCAAGCAATCCAAGCAGATAGAAAATATATGGCAATGTGAAACATGAGATGAGAAGACCAGGGTTAATAACTATTATCTGGTAAACTCTTCAAGGGAAAAAAAGAACAAAGGAAAATTCATTCATTAATGAAGAATTGAAGAGATGCTCAATCTCTTAACAAAAACACAGGCCATATATTAAAGACAACGTTGCAACTAACCGTAATTTGGTTAAAACTTCGACTAACAGCAACCTGCACCATCTTCCTCCAAACGTCACTGTCAACTACAGCATCAGTTGTAATAACCTGAAAGTCATATCGTAGCTTAAATGCAAAGTACAATTTGAAAGAAAAAACATACAAGAGCATCCAGATAATACATACCCCAAGCATAGTTGCCATATTGGGGTGGATCATCCCTGAACCTTTAGCCATGCCTCCAACTCGGATACAAGTCTCTCCAACCTTAAATATCCATTTATTGGAATTAATTAGGAAAGAAACATTAATCAAAGAGAGGAAAAATTTATTAGTTAGGGTAAATGAGATAATCAAAATTTCATGCATAACCAACTGACAGAAGAAAAGTATGGTTGGCAGTAAGTCGATATGCAAAAATGGTTACCAACTCCGCATACAATGTTGAGAAAACCCCTATTGGGCAATTTTCAACTTTTGAATTACAATGGACTACATAAATGATCTCTATGAAGTAAGAGGCCTATGAGTTGCCTAAACAGTCTCTTCACAATTAGAAAAGATTGGCTAAAAGTGAATCTTTGCAATTGTGTAAGTTGATTTCCTACATTGAAAACTCCCCAACCTCCCTCTAGATAAGAGCCTAGTAAGAAGCATTGGACTAATGCTATAGCATGGTATATATTATATAAGAGGCAGAGAATTTCATCATAGGAAGCTATTTTTAAAGCATTTTGAATCGCATTAGTCACTGATGACTGATCCTAAAATTCCTATGCTCCACCCAGAAATTTAAAAAAAAAAAAAAAAAAAAAAAAAAAAAAACATTAGTTTATCACCATAGCATCGTCTGCTGCACATTACAAATTACAAGACATATCTTAGTTTGATGAACATGTACAAGAAAATGTAATGTTTAGAAATCTAGAATAACACATACCAATAAACTATGGTCTACAAAAAAATATTCGAGATAATTGGTCATGCATTGCTAGACACAATCTAAGAAGAAATCTCTAAATCTCAGGCTTTACTTCCTTTGATCAGTACAATGATTCTCAACCCAGTAAAAGCTCTCTAAAAACAAATACACATCAAGAGTAAGACCACATCTTAAAACAAGAAATTTCTTACTCCATACTCCCACTCCTAAAAGCAAGAAATTTCTTACTCCATACTTGTTTTACTTAACTTCCCAACGACATATACACATCAAGAGTAAGACCACATCTTACTCACAAGATATTCCTCACTACCATACCTACCCTTTCCTCCTGTTCTTTTGCATCACTTGTATTTCTGGTTGTGGAGGTAATGCTGACTGCTGATGGCTTTGCTTAACATGGTCATAACCCGAAACCCTTAATCATAATAGCCCATTAGCCCCTCTTGGCCATGCCTTTAGAGTCAAAACATATTCGCTTGTAATCAAGATGGAACTACGAGCACATGTGTCGTTAACATTTTTAAGTGATCCATAGAAGCCATACCCGTAAGTGGCTTAAGTGCTTGACTAGCTCCTGATGTTAGGTTGAGCGGCCTTGAGCCATGTTTTCCCTAATTTACTTCATATGTGCCTAGTGAACACCTTAGAAGCATAAAATGCCACGTGTTATCCCCTACAAATTGGCCCTTGAATGCATCTAACTTTTGCAGTGATATCAAAGAAGTATAAATAAGAATAGAGGAAACACAAGGGGTTAAGAAGCAACTCACTTGAAGTATTTCTCAGCTTCATGTAAACCGACATCCAAGTATTAATTCTAGTTGCCTATCTGAATATTCCTAGAGTATCCAAGACATCCTAAAATTTACATAATATGATGCCCAATTGCAATAGGACGATGCAACCATACAAGTTCTGCACAACTTATACTTCCTAACAAAGCCATTTGGATATACTCAAAGCCACTGATAGTGATTTCACAAAGATACTATGGAATCCCTTGGATACTCTAAAGATATCCTTATGAATATCCCCTAGAATGTCTCAAAAATATCTCCATAAAACCTCTTTAATATGTTGGATGTGCCCCAGAAATATACCCTTAAAGTCCTTCATAAGTGAGGAACATTCCTTGTCTGATTCCGTAGTAAATCAATCTGACCTAGCTTCACATTCATAGTAAGTGCTTAAAACCTTTTGATATATCCAATATGTGAATCACGTATTTCTAGGTAGAGGAAGTTCTAGCCATACTTGTTCCTAGCCATATGTTTGAAACTATGGGGATGGCCATGCCTAAGAACTACGAGATTGTTTAGCTTGTGACAGGTTACAATAGTGACATACCCATGGAAAGACATGTTCATACGAAACATGATCAGAGTAACATAACAAAGATACAAGTGAAGATTTTACAATGCAAGTGACTGCAAAATTTGCCTTCTTTGAGAAATTGATAAGGCTGGAAAAATATTGATCTTAAAAAGGCCAAATAAACCTTATAACTGTTATAAGTTCTAAGTGAAAAGAATTCGAAGCTAAGGGGAAAAAAGCACACAAAGGATATTAATTAAAACTTTAAAACACAAGAGCTTTTAATTTTTGCTCCAACAATTTACAAACACCACATGGAAGAATTTGATTTCTTAGAACTTGTTGTTTCCAGACTTCAATTCTATGTAAATACCATCGAGTTTACAATTTTTTATGAGTAAATAAACAGATCTCATGGTCGCTAGACTAAAAGAGGTGTCTTTAGTACTTAACTTTCAGCTATACAGATCTAAAACAGTCTGGCTTATGATACGGCTAGTGCAGTAATCCTATCTATAAATAAGAATGTCATTTATTCAACTTGTAAGCACAACCCTCCAAACCCTTTATCCTGAATTTCTGTGCAGTGTGCACTCTAATTTTTTTTAAAAAATAAAAAATTAAAACAAAACCATTAACTTCCCATAACTTTCGCTTTTACTGCCAACATTTTTTACTTTGCAAATTTGATATATCCTGCGCATTAGCACGGGAGCATTCTGAAGATGGAAAAAAAAAAAAAAAATTGTAAAACAGAACCACAAATAAAGGATTCACTTTGTACATTTGGTTAATAAACCAGCAAATATCAAATTGCTGTAAGCAAACCAAGGCCAACATGCTAGTACACAGAAGTGAGAAACAATGCTACATTTGCTAGCTGTTCAACACTCTAACCGAGACCATTATTATAAAAGTCACACAAGTGATGAAGGACAGATAAAATATTACATACCTTGGATTCAATGGCAACACTTTTCCTCACAAGATCAGTAGTCGTGATTGCAACTGCTGCAGAATCTGCCCTATAGATCCTCTACGTAAGTTTGAAAACATTTAAATAAAACAGAGGAAATAAAATTACTAGTTGACGATAGGTGCAACGAGGATATATAAGAATCCTCTACAAGATTGGGCCTCATAACCATATGTCAACTTATCAACACAAGTTCTGAAAAGAAAACAAAAACACATACCCTTCAATCGTAGACGACAGAGAACCAACCAGCTTTGGCAGTGCCTCAAGAAGAGCCTTCTGCAATACAAATAGCCAAAATAGCTATTAATACTTTCATAATAGATCACACTAATTACTTTCCATGAATAGGTCCAGCTAAACATATTGGTCTATCATGAGGTTTGTTAACATCTGCTTTGCAGTATAAATTTCAACAAGCAAACCAATAAAACCGTGCCTAATTATTTTCTTCCCTTACCTTCTTAATCCTGTGACCAATTACACCTGTCGATTCAATAAGTATTTCCTTTTGCCTTAATTGGAGCATCTGCAATCGTAGAAAAATATCATCAGAACTCAGAAGATATAAGCAGGCTACACATAAATTTTTTATTAGCACCATGACTAGTCCTGCAATTGACTGAAGCATCTACTGACCTACCTCAGCCAAGGAACTTGCACATTCTATCACATCTTGGAATCCAGCATCCCCCTGCAATAAGAATTAAGAAAGTATACCGCCATCACATATCTTATCCAATGCCCTTTTTTGCAAATAAAGTTGAATGAGTTAGAGATTTTTAATCATCAATCACAAAACAAAAGGATAACCTATTAGTTCAAAGTCTGAATGCAGTGAGGACAAAGACCACAAAGTGCTTACCGTGGCTGCATTTGCTTGACCAGCGTTAATCAGTACTGCACGTGCCTAGCAAGGGAAAAAAGTTAGGACATTAACTAAATGATTTGACATGCACTCAAATGTAGAAATGTCAGTAGATATTGAAGGCTTCATACGAAGATAGTAGTGGATAAGTTCTATGGTAAAACAAGTTTATTTTTCCAGATAAGTTATTGAAACAAAAATTCAATCACAAGAAACATCAAATATTCAAGTGAGAAACTGATAACCCTTAAAGAAAGTAAAGCTCATAACTCTTCAACTGGTTACTGGTTAGTTGATCCTAAATAAAAAAAGTCACCTAAAGGCCTAAGGCACCTGAAACAAAAGTTGCATACCGTTTTTGATTTCTCTAAAGCTTGTTTGCAATACACAACTGGTGCAGCAGCAACCACATTGGTAGTAAAAGCGCCTGAAAGCAAATAAATAGTAACTAGAAATTCAGTGACAGGCTTAGCCTCAAGAATACAGCCCAAGACAAAAAGTACAAAGCAGCTTTAGACTTTTCTTATATCCTACAGATACTCTCATAGAAAATAATTGACCAAATCACTGCACTAGAATAATATTCATGATAGCATTCTAAGAACTGAAAATTAAAGCTATTCTTTGGAAAAAAAAAAAAAAAAAAAAAGAAAAAAAGTAGGGATCAGGCCTATCAGAACATAGTCTCTGCCCCTTTTTGTAAGATACAAGACATAGAGAAACTCCAGTATAAAATGAAAGAGCTCGAATATCGGATGGGAAGAAGTTTGAGTTCAGTAACCAAAACATATCAGAATATAAAAACAGCCATGTCAATCACAGAGCACATCCAACCAAAAAAAAAAATCCAGTGGGATATGTCCATAGAGAGGCCAGGAGCAACACCAGTTTATCTCATAAGGTTCCATGAGAGGAAACGGTAAAGCACCCACATTATAACAAAGCACACTTATCAACACACATTTCTCATCTCCTTATGCTTCCAAATCTAATGTGATGAACCTAAAAGTTTCCCAGGACTTAAGACAGGCAAGTCAATCGACTATTAACACCTCTAACAATCTACGTCATTTAGATAAATAAAAAAAAAGGCAACGCACAATGCTGGAAAATGACTCCTTAGTCTTTATGTTTCCAGTACAAAGCACACAACAAACTCATCACAGGAATTTGCATCATCTCAGAAATTCACAAAGGAAAAGTACTGCAAACAACGATATTACATGTAAGACTTGTAAGAAAGAAAAACCACCTGCAGATATAGCATCTACATCACAACTGACTAGGGCAAGGTCAGGTTTCTCTCCTTGGGCCCTCAAACCACCATAAATACCGGCAGCCTTGAATCCCTTCGCAGCTGTAACTCCCCCAGAAATCTACAAAAGAAACTAAACACTGAGATTTCTAGCTTTTCTTTCTTCTTTTCAGAGATGGAAATGGACGTCAGAATTTGTCTTGCTGTCATTTTAACTCAATATTCAGGATCAGCATGACCTAATTTGCTAACCCCACTCCCCCAGCCCCCTCAAAAACTACAATCATAAACATGCGAATTGGTACAATGAGACACTTAAGAACTTACTTCGTATAAAATAGTGAGACAGTTTTGAGCAAATAATATAAATAGTAAACTGTGTTCATGTACCATTCCATGTGCTGCAAATTAGATAATATTGTTCAGGATAGACAAGAAACACAAATATAGTTTGGAAATCAGTAACCTGCTGCCACGGTCCTTCGGGGATAAGTATAGGAGCTGCAGGTATATAATTCGCTGCAAGTACGTCCTTCACCGCATCAGTAGCAACTGACGACATGGAGACTATTGTCAATTCCCTCCTAGACCCAGACGGTCTGCAAAACTGATATGAAACATGTATTTGAAATAAAAAGATTCAGGGTAATCCAGACACCATACAAATATCATTTTCCAAACTGAGCAACTTAATTATTAGCTGACTCTTCTAATAATCTTACAATTAAGAAATTGTCCAAACAAACAAATTCACAAAAACAATTGCAGACCTTTTTGTTGTTGAATCCTGGAAGTTTGACAGAAATGTGATGGAAACAAATCGACATTGTTGAACAAATTTGGACTAGCTGCATTTTCAGAAGATGTGCAAACTTTAAGGGATTTTCATATTAAATTCACAATCTATAATACTGGAAAAGTGGGGATACAAGAAAAATATTAATAAAATGGAATAACATAAACATTCTTCAGTATCTTAGAGCTAAACAACCCAGAAATTGAAAGCAAATTGAGGAAATGGTACAACTCAACAAGACAATAATCAACATACTAATTCATTCAATTAACTCACTAATTCACCACGCTCATTTCAATTAATCACCAAATTAACATAATAAGGAGAAAACAAACGATAATAATTCATGTTTCATTATAAATTTCAGAACTTTAAAATCCATTTGAAAAAATCAACAATTTAAGTTGCTAAATATTAATTAATTACGAATTAGAACAATTTACCCCATTCTTAGTAATCGAAAAGGAAAAATACAGGCAAGAGAGGATTATACATGTATACCGGTGGTGGAATATGGAAGATGACAGTTGCGGCAGTTGACACTGGCTGTAACTGTTAGGGTGAGGATGAGGGCTCAGGAAAAAATGCTGATTTGTGTTTTGTTTTCCAATTTCTAGACTAGAGAAGTAGAGATGACAAAAGTGGCTACATGCAAGTATGCAATTTTTCACTTCACCTTAAAAGAAAAAAATAATACTCCATCCGTCTCATAAAAACGGACACAATTCCTATTTTTATTTATCGACACATTACTAAATATAGCATGGGACCACTAATTAAAACGGTGTTTATTCTGTGTGGCTGGCCACACCGTGTGGTCGGAATTACCTATGTAGGGGTTACTCAGTCGGTCAAGGGTTACTTATTTTAAGGTTACTCAGTCGGTTAACGTGTTTTTGCCGGGGTTACTTACTCAGGGGTTACTTATCTATGGGTTACTCAGTCAGTCAAGGGTTACTTAATTTAGGGTTATTCAGCCAATTAGCGTATTTTCAGTATGACAGTAACCCCTAACCGACCGAGTAACCTCTGAGCCCTAACCAAGTAACCCCTGACCGACCGAGTAACCCCTGAATAAGTAACCCTAGAATGAATAACCCCTTAATAAGTAACTCCGGCCACACGATGTGGCCAGACACATATAAAAATTTGTGAATTAAAAACTATTTTCACAACTCTTTAATGGCCGGCCCACTAATTTTTGGGAAACAATTTCAACCACATACAAAAATCAAAAAGAATCTTTATTACATCAAACAAATGTATTAATCGGTCTCACTCAAAATTTTCTTGAACTATGTGTCATCCCAACAGGGATGTCAACGAGGTGGGGCAAGGCGAATGTTGGCTTTCCTTCCCCTTCCTCGCCTAACATTCTCATCCCATTTCTATCCCTATCCCCACGGCGGGTCCAAAATTCATCCTCATCCCCGCCCGGGCAGGTATAATTCCAACACCATCTCCGCCACACTCCACTTGAATATCCACCACAACCTAATCCCCACCCAAGACTCGCCTAATTCCCACCTCCCAAATACAACGATACTACATAATATAAATTACAATAAAAAAATAAAAAATTCATTGTTCATATTACAATTTTTTATTCTTTTTTAAAATCTAAGTATATTACAATATATTATATTTACTACTTTATTTTACAAAAAATTTTATATAAAATAGTACTTAGTATACATTTTTAAAAAAATAAAAAATTATAGATGTGGGGATGGGGCGGGTATAGCAAAAAATCCACCCCTACCCCCATCACCCATGGCTCATATAGTTTTTATCCCTATCCTTGCCCCACCACTGCACTCGTCAAACCAGGACCCATCCCCGCCTCATTTGAGCGAGGGGCGGGGATGGGGTGGGTCTCCTACTTAACCCACCCCAATGACATCCCAACATCTTAGATATTCTGTGACATAGGGAGTGTTCAGTAGTAAAAAAAAAAAAAAAAAAAAAAAAAAAAAAAAAAAAAAATTAGTAAAAATAATTTCAATTCAATAAAAATAAGTTTATTTCAGTAAAAATCAGTAACTCTAAAGAAAAATATAAAAGAGAATCAATATAAATAATATCAGTTCAGTAAAAATAATTTCAAGTTAGTATAATTAATTTCAGTTTAATAAAAATAATTTAAGTTCAACAAAAATGATTTCAGTTCAGCAAAAATAAGATGAAGTAAACCGGGCCTAACTCCCTCTAACTTTTTAAGTATTAAACTTTAAGGCTTGTTCACTTCACCATATTCTTGATAAACTGAAATTATTTTTACTGAAGTAAAATTATTTTTACAGAAATGAAATTAATTCTACTGAACTGAAATTATTTTTATTAATTCTCTATTATACGGAGTATTTCATATTTAAAGTTACTGATTTTTACTAAACTAAACTTATTTTTACTACATTGAAATTATTTTACTGAACTGGACTTATTTTTACTGAATTAAAATAATTTTACTAAATCGAACTTTTTTTACTAAATTGCACTTATTTTTACTAAACTGAATTTATTTTACTAAATTGAACATATTTTTATTGAATTAACTAAATTTATTTTTACTGGACTGAATTTATTTTTTTACTGATTATTAGTTTTTTAAGGTGAAATTGTTTCGGGGTTTTTTGGAATCCCTCAGGATACAGGTCTTGGATATAGTCGGACGGTATTGGACACCTGCAAAATAACGAATATTCCGTCAAACGGAGTATTCGCCTCCGACGATCAAGTTAGTGGTCGGAAAACGAAGTAATGTAGAGAGAGAAAGTAGAGAGAAGTTGGAGCTATTTATTGCTCTTGAATGATATGTCTTAATCCCCCCTCCCATCATAAATGATTGGGGTATTTATAAGGGTGGGAATGTGTGCCACTTTAGGGTTAGTGCCCTAAAAAGGTGGACTCTAATTGACGGCCCAATCAGGTAAGGACATGTGTCCTTTGGGGGCGCCTTTTTGCGGCATTTTCAGGATTTGGGCCTCCTGATGTAAGGAAGCCTTTTCTCTCATTCAGGTGCTCTTAGGGTTGTCACGTGTCATCTTCCTATAGGGACATGTGTCGCCCTTTATTGGGTCACGTGTCACTATGGGATTGGACTACGTGTTGGGGTATATTTTACCCTAAACATTTGCCCATTAGAGGGGGTGGCTTGTACCCTACAGGGCGCCTCCTCTGATCTTTACTCGTCCAGTACTGTCTAAATATTGGGCTGATAGAGCATCGTTATTAAAAAAAAAAGACGGATTGTTCCATCCGTGTGGTCATGGGATTATTCCTTTGGGCTATCTGCCTTAATCAGTTCGCCTGATTCATAAGTGGCCTTAAGTCTTAAAATCAGGCGGACGGGTGGTGCCGCCTGGTATTAAGTGAGACACCTGTCTTCCGTATTTTCCGGATTGACGGTACGAATTCTGCTGACCTGGCCGTTTATTTTGGCGCGCCGTTAACTTAGTCGTACATCTTCCCGTCTTAAATGACAGGGCGGTTTTTTAACCATTCAAGCTTCTAGGTTAAACTTTTTCAAAAGTAACCGCTTGAGCTTCTGGGCGCGGGAAATGTGGTTTTACCATTTTGCCCTCATAAATTTTCCTATAAATAGAACCGGTTTGACTTCATAAAAACACTTTGGATTTTTGTGTTTTCTTAAGAGAAGTCAGAGCTTTTAGAGAGAGAAAGTGATTTTCTTCCCAAATCTTCGAGAGCTCCGCCGTGCCTTTCGCTTTTCCGTTCGAGTTTTCTTGAATTTTCCGGTCAACATTCAAGATCTTCAAAATCTTTCAAAGTTTTCTACTCGTACAGAGGTAACCGTTTGCTTTCCTCTACTTCTTCTTTTTTTTCATACTTGTTTTATTTTTTAAACACGAACTAACACAATACTCGGCTTCGTCCGTTTCTCCTCATGAGGTCGGTCGTTCGCTTGGGACTGAGGAGTCTAGAGTGGACGGAGACGATTCCTCTCTTTGGAGTGGGTCCATTTCTAGTGCGTACCAACTCACCCCCACCTATTCTTCTCTGTCCCGCAGTCGAACATGGCGCATACGAGACAAACGTACGAGCGGGGTGTCCCCAAAAATCCAGACGGCAGTTTGGTGGACCCCCTAGTCCCTTATAATCCGAGTAATACGGACGGGGAGAACACGGACACCACTGTTAGTGGTACTTCATGCTTCGTAATAGAAGTGACCACCCTCCTTTTCTAAGCGCCAAAATCAGCAAGGCACTTTTTCTTCTAGGGAGATGTTCGAGCAAAATCCGGTACAACGCCTCTCCCAACATACCAGCTCGGTCTTGATGCATTCCGAGCTGTCATCTTCTGAAAGGCATCCATCAGGAAATCAGGCGGACGCTAGGTCTGGCTGTGTGGGATCATCCGACCAAAATCCCCAACAACCCTCAATCCAAACTACCAGGTCGGCCAGGCCTAGAACTGGCATTCACATTGCTGAGCCGACCGACCTGCCCCCTCGCAGTGCTCCTTCTTCTAAAAATCAGGCGGACACTGGAGGAAAACAAGATAAGGGTAAGAAACCCTTGGTGCCTGAAGGCACCGTTGTCACTGAAGGTGGCCAGGGCTCCAAGGGAGGGAGCTCGGCCGAAGCTGCTGAATTGGACACAGTGTTGTCCTCTAAATTTGGCTCGGCCAACGTCCCTGCACCTCAAGCCGCCGAGGGAGAAGCTGAGAACCTGGACGTTGATTAGGCAGCCGAGGAGGCCAACGTCGATAATTTTAAGGACCAGTACGCTTGTACAGTTGGCGACATTGCTTTGGCTTTTCTGCATTTGAACTTTGAAAAATCAGATAGTTCCTCCATCTGGGAGAAGGCTACAAAATCGTGGTGCCCACCCGCTCTTACTTAGTGGCTGCCTAGGATAGCAAGAGGCAGGAAAGAAATGTTTTAGTGTCTATCGCGCCGCTTTGGAAGTGGGCCTTCGCTTCCCCTTACATCCATTTGTCCAGGCTCTGTTGGATGGATACAACATTGCTATTTTCCAGCTGGTGCCGAACATCTGGGTAAATATTTTTGGCTATCTGGTGACGTGCCTTCGGCAAGGCTTCCATCCGAACGTCCTAGTTTTTTGTGTAATGCATTCTATGGTCCGCCTGGATTTCGAGACGGACGGCTGGTTTATCTTGAGCACCCAGAAAGAGTATCTGGTGGTTCTGAACAGGCCGTCCAAGTGGCGAGACTGGAAGCAGCGATTCTACCACATCAAGACCAGTGACAAAGAATTTAACTTGCGGATGAATCGGTTCAATGCCAATCCAATTCAACTCGGCCGTGGGAAGCACAGACCCTCAAAGCCACCCGTCCACCCTGACAACTACTTTCAACTAGACTACTTCAAGGTCAAAAAGGAAGTCAGGGATGGAAAGACGGTGACCGTACCGTCTAGTAATCTAGTTGGATACCTCTGGCCGACTGGCTTAGCCCGGTATTCATGTCGGCCTGTGGCCTATACCGGAACTACTCCCAAGGTGGAACCTTGTGACTTAGTCGTTCGAATGTTTCTTACATTCTCCGAAAATATTCTAACACTTTTACTTTTCTTTTTCTTTTTCAGACGTAGCTCTCAGAATGTTGGATGCTGAACAGAAAGGAGAAGTTGGCATGTCCGAGATGAGTTCGTCCATAGGG